GCTAGCGCTCTGCCACTTGAGCCATAGCGCCACTTCCCGGCTTTTTTTATTTTTGCTTATGTGGTGCTGAGGAATCGAACCCAGGGCCTCAGGCATGCAAGGCACGCGCTCTACCACTGAGCCATCTTCCCAGCCCCTGACTTCCACATTCTAACAGTAATTCATTGCTAGTCACTGTAGCCTGAATTAGCCATGAGGTGAATTCTTTTGGACATTTCTATCTCTGGATCTTTCATTCTGAATCTGTGCTGTCTCTGATTTTCCTAAGTACAAATTAAACTTCTTAGAAATGTTCATTACTGTCTTAACCAGCCTGGGGGTTAGGCAAGAAAACCTGATGGCTGAGAACATAATGCAAATACTGACCCAAAAAAACTTTTTTTTTACTTCTTGACCTGCTGAGATTACAGAATGACTAGTGCCACACAGCAGAGTCTCACTGACCCCATCCCCCACAATAGAGGAAGAGGACAGTCCTATCTGCACCATCCAAGGCCAAAACCTCCTCTACTCATCCTACAAGAAGAGTTAATGATGCATAGTTTCCAGGACTTAATGACACATAGCCCAGTTTTCCAGGAACAGAACCTTCCATGTGCATAGACCTTAGTGAAAGCTTGAGGTTTCAGGACCCTCAGTGTAGCTCTCTTTCTTGAGCTGGCCTGCTATCCCACCTGGAAAGTACTTTGGCTTTGCTTTCACATTGCTTCACATTAATAAATCTGCTCTTGCTAAGTCTCCCCTATGCCTGTCTTTGATTGAATCCTTTTCCCATGAGATCAAGGCCTTCTGGCAGTGCCCCAGACCTGGCAGCACTACAAGGAGCTATCTTAATACATTAAACAAGCATTAATGGGCACCTCTGACACACTGCTCCCAGGAGGGAGACAGATCGCATAGGATCTAATACACCTTTCAGTCCAGTGGCATCCAGTGGCGGTGGTCAGAGAAAACTCCCAAGCAGTTAAGCCTGCATCTTAAAGAGCAAGAAGATGCATGCTGCCAGGTAGTGGTGCCTCATACCTATAATGCCAGCTACTCAGGAGGCTGAGATCTGAGGATCAGTTGGAAGCTAGCTCTGGCAGCAATGTCTGTGAGAATTTTATCTCCAGTTAGGTAGCAAAACCAAAACAACAACAAAAACTGGACATGTGACTCAAGTGGTAGAATACCAGCCTTGAGCAGGAAAAAACTAAGCAATAGCAGGAAGTCCTGAATTCAAGCTCCAGAGCAAACATACATACATAATAAATAAACAAACAAATTAAAGATAAGAAGCAGGCCCAAAGGAAAGTGATGAGTGGGGTCAACTACCTTCCTGTCAGTCTCTCCTCCTTCTCATTTTCCCTCACCTCTTCCCCCTGCCCCAACTTTTCCTATCTGAAGATAAATTTCTACCATGAATACCTAACCTTCTCTGGATTTTCTTTCCATGTCTCAGGGAACCGCAGATGAAAGAGCACCCCTCATACGAACCTAACGGAAGAAACTTAAGCATCATCTAAGCATGATGTGGGCTCTCCTGATATGGACCCTACCAGGGAAATCCCAGCATCCTCAGTCTGTTGGGAGGAGGGCGAAGATTCAGTGTCAGCAAATGACAAGAGTATCCTGAGCAGAGCCTAAAGAGCAGGCTGATAGGCTGGCTAGTGTGCTTCATAAAATCACCTGGTCTCCAAAATTATTTTCATGTGTCTAGCAAGTATTTAATAAATTCTTGTATAGTACCTTTGATGTTGGGTTCTGATAGCTATAGAATTTTGTGACTACTATTGTAGATATGCCTTCACATCACTTGTTAAAGCTACATGGGCTAACATTATTTGGTATGCTTCTTTCACCTAACTTTGTGAGCAAAACACATGTGTATCTCTTTATGTTGTATTCTTCCATTTCAGTCCCTGAAAAGAAGTCAGAGTTCGGAATCCAGGGTAAAATGTAGCTTTATCCTGTACACTGCTGAAATGATACAATGTCCTCTTTTAAAGCATTATGTATTGCATTTCATGCTAATCTTCAGTCTAGAATTCATCCAGGAAAATTAACTAGGTCTTCTGAGTGCTTGTACAATGTGTAGGAATCAAGTGAAGAAGGGTCTGGGATGGGGGTGGGCACCAGTGAGTGGATAAGGATTAACTCCTATGGATTTCTAAGTAGTGCTTTCATGAACCAAGCGAATGAATAAATGTTGTTGGTATTAATGCAGATCTTTTGTGAAGAGAAGAACTAAAATGTTAGTTATGACATCTCTAGACTATTAGCTGTTATTTTTAGTCAGAATTATCTTGCTATAGAAAACCTGCTTTGGGGAGAATGTAATGGATGACTGTTTTACAACCCCCCAGTCACCCTGGCCCAATATGATTCTGTACTGATTACCATATAATATGGGATTATTTGTAAACTTACTATAGGAAATCTGTCAGTAGCCTGAGTTACACACAGACTCATCACTGCCTTGATTAGAGTGACATTTCTTTCTTGCTAACTTTGAGATTATTTTGGTAAGTTCTTTCTTCAGAGTTGGTTTTCTCCAGTGTTACGTGTTCATGATCACTCACTAAGTAGAGGGAATTGTGCCCTACACATTCTGTGACAATCATGGTGCCGAGAAGATTGCAGAGGGTTTAAAATATTGCACAGGAGGTTCTTTAAGGATGAAAGTCCCTTGGGACCAGAAGCAGAGTCACTTCTCTTCAGAAGACTTCTTGGCTTCCAGTAAAACCAAAGGCAGACAACGAGCCACTGTTGGGTCACAAAGTTCAGTTCGCAGGTATATGTAAGGGCATTTTTCCTTGATTCTCTAAGTTCATAATGTTTAATTGAGACGCTTGTACAGTTTATCTAGCAAAGTGCTTATAGAATTTTCCCAAGAACAGAATCATACTATGGGTTTCATTTTTGTTGTTTTGTTATTTAAAATTGGAATTTAATGTAAACAAATGAAAAAAATCAGGGATTTCCCTTACATAGCTTCTTATCTATGTTTGGAGGTCATAAATGGCTTTAATTTCCCAATGTAATGCCCCAATTTTCCTATGTATACCATATGTAATGTTTTCCCCTTCTTAAAGGGACAAGTCATTAAACTTTCAACTTTTCTATAAATCAAGATAGAACAGTTACATACCCTGATTCACCAAACTGTGCAAAAGCTAAACTGAAAATATTTGGTCTTCAGTAATGCCAAATATCTAAAGTTTTTTTAAAAAAAGAATTTATCAATATTTAACTAGAGAATTGGCATGCCTTAGTCTGTGTGCATCAACTTATCCACACCAATAAATTGATAAACTAATGCATACTCACTGATTCAATCCTATGTTCAGGATATAATCATCTAGGGGTAGATTTTTAAATGCTGTAAATAATATCGGTTAGTGATATACACATTTAGACTGATTCTCACCTGGCAAGGAGGCAAAAAACATATTAGGTCCCTATTCACAGGATGATCCTTAACAGTGATGACTTAAAGTCACACTTGATATTTTCTTTTTGAAAATAAACTGTAGTCAAAATTACAGACCGCCTCGGAATGAAGTAATGTACCCATTTATTTGGGGAAAACCCTCAAGAGTTTTGTAAATTCTGACAGCATTGTTTCCATCACAGAATGGCAGGCAGGAAAATGGGAGCTGAGCACAGGATAGGACATGGGCCTTGCCACTTTTTATCTCCATGCTTTCCTACTGGACTTTATTTCCTCATGTTCTAGAAAGATCAACTGGAACCAGCACTACATGACTAACCCCTACTGGGGTTTTTACTGAAGGGAGGCTAATTTTTAACTTAAATTGTTGAGATAATGAATTTTGAAGAAAAAAAAAGAAAGAAAACAGTGACCCTTACAGTTAGTCCTTGGTGAATAGAGAAAATTGCTTGTGCCTGTCTTTCAGAATGCTTCAGCAGCTGGGATCGTTGGTTCATTTCATGTGATTCTTAACCTATTTTATTCCTAAACTTCATGCAATGAAATGTTTTACTAATAAAAAAAGTTTATATAAAATTGCACTGGGAAATCATGTCACTGGAAATGTGGTTGTCTATAAATTTTTATTTGAAAATGCCCCTGACCCATAGGACCCTGAATTCTACCCCCTCAGAACAGCCCGGGTTTCTGCTCGGCTCTGAAGGACAGTTTCCAGGCAGCCTGGGAGTCACACTCCAAGCAGGTTCCATTCTCTGCTTTTCTACATCAGGACTTTCTCCCGAGCCTCACAAAGAGCAGAGGGAGAGTTAATAACACAAGGGAAACATCAAAACAACCCTCCTAAATCAAAGAGTACATCACACGTTACTGGATTAGGACTGTTCACTGTGGAAACTGCTTTCTATTAGCATTTCCTCATTCCTTGTCCAGTGCACCTCCATCCCTGCTTCCTCCCAGATCAACCACCCACACTAACATCCCTATGGCATGCGTGCCTCAGGAGCACCAAGATTCAGAGACATCCACCCAAAAGAGCTGTGGAGAATCAGAGATGTATTGGGTAGGTTCTGTAGGGACATTTGGACTGAGTGATCACTTCGTTGGTTTTTTTTTATTTTTTGTATTTGTGTGTGTGTGTGTGTGTGTGTGTGTGTGTGTGTGTGTGTACTGGGGCTTGAATTCAAGGACTTAGCTTTTTCACGCAAAGCTGATGTTCTACCATCTGAATCACACCTCCACTTCTGGCTTTTTGCTAGTTAATTGGAGGTAAGAGTCTCACAGACTTTCCTGTCCAGATTGGCTTCAAACTTCAATCCTCAGATCTCTGCCTCCCGAATAGGATTTATAGCCATGAGCTATCAGAGTCCTGCTTAAAGTTACAAGTTTTTTGTTTTTGTTTTTTTTGGGGGGGGTCCGGTCGTGAGGCCTGAACTCCGGGCCTGAGCGCTGTCCCTCAGCTCTTCAGCTCAAGGGTAGCATTCTGCCACTTGAGCCACAGCACCACTTCCAGCTTTTTTCTTTTTGCTTATGTGGTGCTGAGGAATCGAACCCAGGGCCTCATTCATGCAAGGCAAGCGCTCTACCACTGAGCCACCTTCCCAGCCCAAAGTTACAAGTTTTTAATTCAGATGCTCATTAAAACCTTTCCTGTTCCCCAAATTGCATCTTACTCCTGAAGTCTGAGTAGATACGGAGCAATCATAAAGTACCTAGTCCTGTGTTACAAACATTCTTTTGGTTATTTGGTGTTGAGCATATATCCTTCTTAGGAATCCCAAGTCCAGTTTCTGCTAGCTCATGCCACAGAAAAGCTCCTCGTACCAATTTCTTGTCCAAAGATATGCAGCGATACATAGATGTTTGTAGTACACCATGCCTGTGTATTTTATTTTATTTTATTTATTTTTTTGGGGTCCGGTCGTGGGGACTGAACTCTGGGCCTGGGCGCTGTCCCTCAGTTCTTCAGCTCAAGGCTAGCGCTCTGCCACTTGAGCCATAGCGCCACTTCCGTCTTTTTTCTTTTTGCTTATATGGTGCTGAGGAATCGAACCCAGGGCCTCAGGCATGCAAGGCAAGCGCTCTACCACTGAGCCACCTTCCCAACCCCAGCCTGTGTATTTTAAATCAAAGATTAGAAAATAAAATTTAATTTCTTTAAAATATTTAAATAACCTTTATTAAGGCAGAACTTATGTAACATTAATCCTTTGAGTGCCAGGAGTGATATACCCTTATAATTCCATCATTCATAAAGCTTAGTCAAGAGATTTTGAGTTTGAAGCCAGCCTCTCTTACTGCTAGGAAGCTGGATGGGGTGGCTTATGCCTGTAATCCTAGTTACTCAGAAAGGCTGAGATCTGAGAATCAAGGTTTGAAGCCAGCCTCGGCAAGAAAGCTTTGAGACTCTTATCTCCAATAAACTAACCCCACACACACACTGAAAAAAAAAAAGCCAGAAGTAGAGCTGTGGCTCAAGTGGTAGAGTGCTAAATTTGAGCAAAAAAAAAAATCTCAGGGCCCTGAATTTAAGCCCAGGATTGGCACAAACTTACATTGTGATTTTAGTAAATTTACTACGTTGTACATTTCTAGGACATTTTCATCACCTCAGTAAAACTTTCATGCCAGTTTATAGTCCCTCCTGGCACCCATTCCCAACTCCTGGCAATTATGGATCTACTTTCTGTATGTATAGATTACCTTTCCAGACATTTCACATAAATACAGCATGTGGTACTAAAGTCTGTCTTTTCTAAAATTTACCCAAAAATGTGTCCAACTAATTTTATTGAACATCTACCTTATACCAAGCACTATACATCTAAACTAGGCTGTGAGTGAGTAAAAATTGACATTGGCACTTTACCATCTAGTGAGGGAAAAGAGTGACCAAATAATCATTCAGGTAAATGTCAAACTGCAGCAACGTTTCGTAATGCTCTGGGGAAACAATTAAGACAGAGTTAGATAAAGCAAACATTTCAGATAGATGGAATAGGAAATACTCAAGAGCAGGAAAGGATGTGTTTACAACTGACTGAGATGTTTAGCTGGGGTTTGAGAGAAGAATGATGGGAGGTGAGGCTAAAAACAAGAAGCCACATCATTTTGGCTCTCAATAAACCATATTAAAGATTTGGGTATATTTTTGGCTTATGACCAATGGGAAACTAGTAAAGATTTTTAACTGGGTTGTTGAAGGAAGGTGTGGGAGACAATAGGCTTAGAAAAACCCATTCTAGCTGCAAGGAAGAGCTGACATAAATCCAGAGATCAATTAGGAGGTTGTTACTGTAAGTCACCCTTGGTGTTTCCACCGACATGCAATATGATTCTTCTCTGAATCAGCTGATATCCATCATCCATTTGGGGATTTCCACAAAGTCACATACCATGAATGAGGGTATGGGCTTTGTGGGAGTAAATAAAAATGTACAGAGCCAGCCAGGTGAGTGTGGCTCTTGCCTGCAATCCTAACTACGCAGGGAGGCTAAGATCTGAGGATCAGTTTTAATGTTAGTCTTTGCAGTGAGACTGTTATCTCCAACTAATCAATAAAAAGTCAGACATGGAGGTATGGCTCAAGTAGAAGAGCACTAGCCTTGTATGAAAAAGCTAAACAAGCTTGAGGCCCTGAGTTCAACTCCCAGTACTGTGCTGAGCCCAGACAACCAGGAGAAGAAAGGTTTAGATACTCCAGCATCCAGCTAACCCAGGGCCAAAGCACTGTTTGGATTCAGTAAAGACAGCATATCCTCTTTTCTTCCCTTCTTACAAGATGAACATGAAGAAGCAATTTTGCCAACCTACACAAGCTGTTGGGACACAAGTAGTTTGGATTTTGAGTGCCAATGGTTTACCACGCCTGTGAAAGCCAGCTGCTCCTAGCATGTCACAGTTTCCACTACTGTGGGAGAAGGTCCCACAAGAACCTCAGTTTGAGTGCATCTCATTCCCTAGGAGAAGGGGGGCTCTAGCCCCAGTGAACTCATATTGGCAGACAGCCTAGAATAGTTGGTCCAGACCATGCTCAGATAGATGATCTGTGGCACACCAGGTCACAGGAGCTGCTGGAGAGCTCCAGGGAGAGGGAGGCAACTTTTATGTAAAACACCAGATTGAAAATAATTTTGACTTTGCAAGCCACATGCACGGCCATCCTAGTAACTTCTGCTATTGTGAGCCTAAAATTCTGTTACTGTGAACTGTGAAAAATATAGAAACAAATGATGATGTGTCTGTTCAAACAAAGCCACATTTGACTAAAGCCAGCTTTGGCTGCTTATCTCAGGCTGCCATAAGGATGCTGCTTTTTTTTTTTCTTTCTTAAAACAGCAACTTCCTTTTCTTCAATAGTCTCCTCTACCCATGCCATTGACTTTCCTCACTAGCTAGAAGGCAATAATGAAATACTTGTGAATTTCTAACTAAAAATCATTCAGCTTACATTCCCAGCCAAGAGAGATGTAGAAGAACTGTGAAAAGATAATAAAGGCAATCCGGTGCTAATGACTCACACCTGTAACACTAGCTACTAAGGAGGCTGAAATGTGAAGATGATGGTCCAATTAGCCACCAAAAAGTTGAAAGTGGAGCTGTAGCTCAAGTGGTAGAGTCTCTGATTGTCTTGAGTACAAAAGCTCAGAGACAGCACCTAGGCCCTGACTTAATTCTCCAGGACTGGTGTACACACACACACACACACACACACACATCTACAGATATTTTTTTCTTGCCAGTCCTGGGGCTTGAACATCAGATCTCATGCATTTGTTCAGTTATTTTATCACTCTACCACTTGAGCCTCACCTCCAATTCCAACTTCTTGCTGGTTAATTATAGATTAAAAGTCTCTCAAATTTATCTGCCTAGGCTAACGTCAAACTGAGATCCTCAGATCTCAGCCTCCTGAGAGTCACCAGCACCTAGCAAGGATTTATTTCAGCATGATAGAGTTAAGTAGGGAGAAATGGAAAATGAGGGGAGTAAATTTCCCGTTCAGCACAAAGGAAATGGAAGTAAAGGACTCTTCTTTATTTGAATAATACTACTTTTAGAATTTTAAAAACTTATGTGCTTGTGTGTATAATTTTATTACGCTACATATTGAGTTTAAAAAGGCGTTCGAATATATTTAAAATACATATTTGTTCCAAATATTACTGGAAAGACAATGTTTTAAAAAGCAAGTGTTTGCGAAGGTGAATCGGGTGGGCAGGAGGCAAGGGTGTAGGAAAACGTTTTGCTTTCATTTCCCTTATATTTTTTGAAAATGTAACAATGCTAATCACAGTTATGCAAAACAAACTGCGGGATCCCGGCTATTTTACATGTTAACAACACTAATCACTACAACGCTAATTACTGCAGGGCCTCCCAGAGCTCCTCGGCCGCCCGGTGGAGACTGAGGGTGGGGAGGGGAGGGGGGATCTAGGAGCAGTTCCTGGCTTCCAGCTTGAACCAATGGATGATGGCTCGGAATGCCAAGGCTTGGGAATGGAGAGAGAGGACCGGGAGCAGAACTGGAGGACTTCCTTTCTGTGCTCACTGCTTGAAGACAGGCTCCTTTCCGTGCATG